CTTCTTGCCATACACGATCTCGAAAGGTGTTCCACGCAAAGCACGATGATCATGAAATCTGTTCAACAAGAAACAACTGTGAACCAAGGCCCATGCTCTCAACACGTGTGTTTCCTCCAGCGTCATTCCAATGGCTTCCTCGACATGCATCACAAGAGCCATAGCTTGATGCTTCATTGTTTGGATCTGTCGTTCAACTCTTGCTGTCCTGCCCTTGTGATATGGCTTGCCCATGATCTTCGTCCCAGGGTAGCCCATCGACCTGCGAATCTCCAAGACCAAATCTAGGAGACTGAGTATTGCGGGCTCTGAATCCATGATGAAGTTCACATCTTGCAAGTATCCTAAGTCCAATGAAAATCGAACTGCTGCTTCAGCCGCTTGCCTGTAAGCTCCCTTCGTAGTCGTTGGGAAGACATTGCAAAACCTCGTCCTGGTATCCAGCATGCACAAAGCCGGACAATCTTTGCCAAGAAAACTCCAATCCATCTGAATCGAAGGAATGCCAGTGTCCTCCTTGTCGAAGTCCGTGCTCTGACTGCTCTTGTCTTCTCGTGATTTTGCCTTCACACAAATACTGCACCAACTCTGGAATGGAAGATGCGTCACTGCATGTCTTGCCTGCTCCTCTTCCCCAGGAAGGGAATCAGGAGCCTTCTGCACGGAAAGTTCTGGAGCCAACATCTTCTTTCTCAAATTCTCTGAAACAACAACTGCATCTCTCTTGTACTGCATTTCAATGTAATTGCACAATCTTTCAAACAGCTTTCGTTTGGAACCGCTCTGACTGACACCGAAAAACTCACATGCTTCCCTAAGAAACTTCACCGGACTGTCTTCGTTCAACTCTTGGCCATTTACAAAAATTGAATCTGGGCACTCCACCAAGCCACCAGCATTCTCCTGCTGCATCACCTCTGGCTCAACTGCTCGAAGCTCATCTGGCACCAAAGGTTCACGAGGAAAGAACTTTGCAGGTTCTCCAATCTGATCAACCGGTCTCGGTGGCACCTGATGTCCTGCTGCAATGGAAGGAAGGTCCTCTGCACCTTGAACTTCACACTGAAATGTACTAAGAGGAACCATGTTGCGTGAAGGGAAAATCAAAACTGAAGTCTGAAAAACGAGTCTTGGAATGAGTCCATCGTTTGTTCCATAAGACAACTTTGTACACAACTCAATGACTTCCCAATGGTTTCCAACTTTTGCTATCGTGGTTCGATATCTCCAAGGTGCACTGAATGTGTTCGTGAAATCGTGGAAATTCCGACCGAATGCAAAATGACATGGTGATCCGTTTTGCAAAAACTGCCAACCTTCTTTCAGCTTCGACACGTCCATCGAAAAAGAAACTGTCACTCCACAAACAGCTTTTGTTTCTATCTCTTCCTCTTCAACCCTTCTCACACAAGCAAGAATGCTCAGGCTGTTTCGTTTGTAGAACACTGGAATGCGGCAAATCTTGTCTGGTGCTATCAAAACTCCGGCACAAGGACCATACTTGCTTTCGTTGATAAAGTTCCTATCTCTATCATCTTTTGCTCCAAAAATCCAACCATGCTTCAACAGCCTTCCCAATGATAACAAAGGGTTTGTGACATTTGCTACCACGAACTCCTCATCTAAAACACACTCATCCATGTGCTCTCGTGGAAATGCTTGCACTAGTGACAACTGAGCTTTGCGCAATTGTTGGACCTTGATTGCTTTGCCTTGTGCGTCCTCCAATCGAAGTGAAGGAACCTGACTCAATTCAACTCCGGCTTCTGTCCCTGACGGCAATAGTGAAAGGTCTGCTCCACTATCTAGTACTACCCATTCTTCATGCTCTGAGTTCTGAACCATTCTGACATGAAAACTCTCCTGCTCCTGTGGTGACAACCACTCATAGAACGCGTCGTCAGCGAGTGAGTCAGCATCAACCTGAACATCGTCTGTATCGAAAATCTCGTAGGCTTCAATTGGTTTGTTCACCAATGAAATCATCCGAACTGAGCCCCATCTGGAACTCCTCCAGCTGTCAGCCTCTGAAATTTCACTCATTGCAAACTCCTCGGGATACACATCTGGAGGGGTAGCAACGTGATACATCTTTACTCTTCTCACACCTGCTCTTCCACCACCGGTAGAAGCTGTTGTTGAACTGTACACTGAACTTGTCGTCGACCGTCTCATGTCTTCTGTCGGAACCCTCTGACTAGCAGCATCTTCTTGTCTCACCTCCATCACCATAGGAGTATTACCACGATTAGGACATTCATTGCCCCAATGTCCTGTCTGTCCGCACACCCGGCACCTATCCGAGTCCACCCGGTACCTATCCGAGTCTCCTTTCTTTCCTTTCTTTCTTTTACCTTTGCTGCTCTTGCCTTTGCTCTTTCCTTTGTTACTCTTGCCATAGCCTTTGTACTTTCCTTTCTTGCCTTTGCCTTTCTGGGAATAGCCGCCTTTGAACCAAGAACTAGCTCCACTCCAGGCGTTTGACCACCCGGACCAACTGCCTTTGCCACCTTTGCCTTTCCAGCTGTTCTTACCTTTGCCAAACTTGCCTTTGCCTTTCATGGTCACAGCATCAACCTCCATCGGAACAACTCCACCTGCATCCTGCAAGCTACTCATAGTCGACTTCGAAGGTTGTGCAACATTCTTCAATGCATCTGTCATGGACCATGTTCTTGTAGACCGCTCATAACTGAGGATCTTCTCACGCACTTCACGGTATGAAGTTCCCTCTTCAACAGCCATCGTGATGTGTTGCCTGATGCTCTCTGGACAAATCCTGAGGAGAACTCCAAGTAGCACGTCATTGTCAAATGCCTTCGACCTCAACACATTGTACTCTTGCACAAGTGCCTCAAGCCCGGAAGTCTGTTCAGCTATCTTACCCAATTCCATCTGGGGGTAGTTGGTGATTGCTTGAGATAAGGACAATGAACGCTGTCTTGTAGCCGGTGCGAAATGATCTGCCAACGATTTCCACAGCTTGAACCCGTTCATCTCCTGGCTATGTGCTCGACTGAGTTGCAAACTGCTTCCTCTCAGATAGGAAGTGAGGATCGAGTACAACTTCCGAGATAGCTCTTTTTGCGCATCGGACCAAAAATCGTCTTCCACTTCTTCATGAGGTGCTAGTTTTTCACACTCTTTGATCCCTTCAATGAAATCTTGATTGCTGTAAGCTAGCCAATTCAAAAAGCTATGCCTCCAGTTTATCCACACCGAAGCGTCACTTGAATCGAAAACTTCAGGAGGTTTGAGGATCTTTGCTGCACTCTCTAAGTTCCTCGCCAAGCTTGAAGAACTGCTGCCACCTTCGCCTAATCGTGCAATGGCGGTTGCAGTGTTTTCCGCCATGATACCTTGCCTGTGCATGTAGCTTGAAAACTGCTCAATGAAATTCGAAAATTGCTGTTGATCCATGCGTTCAACCGACCAACTGCTCAATGTAAGCACCAAAAACTGGAGTCCAAGTTTGTTTCGTCTCCAACAAAACCTCTTCTCGTTTCCAACACCTGACTGCCTCTTTCTCACCTGCTTCTCACAACCTTTCCTCCGTAGCCTCTTTGGACATCGGCTCAAGCGCTTCTTGAAGGTTTCCGCAACAATGTATGCAAAGAAGGAAAACTTGTGGCACAAGGTTTGGAGTCTAGGCTCAACAAAACCTCTCCTGTACCATCTTTCAGCTTCTCTCCAACACCAAAGCTGCCATGCCAACGTACACGCTGTCACCACATCAATGTAAAAGCTGCCAACCAAGCTCTGCTCAACAAATGTTTCTCCACCAACAATCACAACCGACCGACGGACAACATCTGTCAACCAATGCTCCACGAACAACTGCTGTGCAATGTATACGACCAAGATCAACCAAGCTCCAACCGACCAACATCCAACTTCCATGGCGCGATTGGAGCCCCTCACCAAGGTCTGGATCCCTGGGGCTCCGCTACCATGTTAGGTAGCAAGCATGAGCGCGACCGCCCTGGTTTTGACCCAAGCGCTACAGCGGAGTAAGGTAGTTTTCAACTAGCAAACTGTGCACTTCTCTGTACATCTAGTTACACAGCAAAAGCTAACATTGAAACTAGGGGGCCTTCGGACTACCAAGCAGCACTCCACCAAACACAAACAAAGTAGGAACTTGAGGCCAGGGGGAGGAGGTCGAAAGCTAACCCTGGGGGTTAAATTTACCCCCCGCTTTTGTATGCCTTGAGTCGGAAAGAGGGGTAAGCATTTCTGACATCACACGGACTGTCCATACACTAGGGCGTCCGTAGTGTAGGATAAGCACGGGTAAAAGGTATATGGAATAGAGTGTCTTGAGGAAATAGCCGGCTTATGGTTATGGCAAATCTGGGGGGTACATTTACCCCCCGCTTATGTATGCCTTGAGCCGGAACGAGGGGTAAGCATCACAAGGACTATGCATACACTAGGGCTCACAGGTTGTGGGGATACTTGGCAGGGACCTTGTCCTGCATGTTGCGTTACGATAGCCACAACACTGGTACCCCACAAGGGCGGCGGACCGGTGAGTGCACGGGCAAGTGTTGCACCAGGAAGTAGCTAACGCCACACAAGAGTAGTGGAAAAATGTCGAAAACATTGGAGCCGTGTACATCCGAGCTTTGTTGCGCCAAATGCAGGTTCAAGCGACTGAATCTCGCAGCGGGAAGGAAATTGCCATCCAGAAAACGCTGAGATGGTTGACAACGCCACAATGTCCGCATAGATTGAAACTGACAACACGAGGTCTTCAGCATAGTGCCAGTTTCAAAGAAAAAACATCTGTATTTTTCCAGATGGTGTGCTTGTGATCGAACATATTGTCCGCATTCTTGAAAACACCAACGGCCTGTTTGCACGCCGGGTCGTGCCTTTGCCTAAGACAATCCGCGCCTCAGACAAGGTCCGCTGTACGGGCACGCATGGCGACACAGCCAGGTGGCAGAGAAGGCATGGCTTAATGAAACTCAACAATCGCTTTGAACGCCATCGGCCTCTCTTCATCTGTGTGTTTGTCCGTGACCAATTTTGGCCCTGCAAACATCAGCCATGCGGTAAACTGGAAAAAGCAGTGAAGAACCTATTTGCCAAGTGCCTCATTTGTTCCATACAGATCTCCCGACCTGTGCTTTGCATACTTTTTGGCAAGCCCCATGCAGCTTGCAAACAGCAGTGCTTGATCAACGTGTTGGCCGCGTTTTGAACCATTTCATGCTCAAGCGGCTCACAGCACAAATGCTAGCCAAGTTCCCCGGCCACGCAGTCCAACATCTATGGAACTTTTTGTTGGAAAAACAACAACTGCATGAAATCAAGTAAGCTAATTGTCGCGGAAATTCTGCTCTCAACTGGGCGGCCAACATCAACATGCCACAACGCAGCTTTTCGCTCGAGACTTCCCTCGGCCTCTGATAATCCACATGCCCGAACGTCCCGTTTCACTGCACTTGCCACGGAAAGCGGCCACCAAACCCAAGCGGAGAACGCACGGCACAACAGCGCAAGCGCAGTCGAGAAACGAACCCGCACCAGCCAAACAGATTCTGAGCCTTCGCGCGCCAACGCGCATCGAAGATCTCGTTGAATGAACGCACCCTAGATGGCAACGACTTGGCCGAGGACATTTTTCACTACAAACTAACACGCCAGGTGCAGAATGATAGCACAAAAATGTTCATTGATTCTAAGATATAGTGGCCCGTTAGGTCGCGACGGCTTGTTGGGATTTTGTTTGCGGTCCCCTGCTTCGGCAATTTCGGGAATCAATAAAGGTTTGTTTCATTGTCTGCACAGTGGTTCGTCAAAAGGGACACCGGTGCGGAGTGGGCCTGGGCAAGGCCAAGCTGGCACAATAAGGTCGGCAACATCCTGGTTGCAGCCCACCGGCTGCGATGGTTAGGGCAACGAACCCGAACCGTGCCGACTGGAGGCTTCACGAAACGTCTCTACCTGGGTGCGCCGGGCATCAGCTAGAGGCTCGTGACAAAATTGAACGCGCAACTTTGTTTGACGTATTGAGGGCGCAGCTGATGTTTCTGTGAGGGTATTGTTGGTTTGTCTTCAACACAAACCGGACAAATTCCTGGAATCAACGACGGTGTCAAACAAGGTGATGTATTAGAGTCCGGTCCACAGGTGGAAGCTGAAATTGGAAGATCAAGGTGCAAAGGTCGGAAGCGCACAACGCCTACACATATTCAGCGTGCTGCCGGGTTATTGACTTTTTCAAAGGAAAACCAGGAAGTGCATCTTCTTGATTTTTGAAAGTGCAATTAAGCAAATGAGAAACCTTGAAGAACTATGAAAAACCAAAGGGTTGACAAGGTGTCCACACTTTTGGGAAGCTTAACTGCAAAGGCCACAAAGGATGGGAAGATCGGGACTGCTCAACTTGTCTGGCGGACGTTTCACAAAAAGACTTGCACGTTTGCACATACAAAACAAGCACCTTGCATTGAAAACTCGGTTTGAAGCTGTTTGATGCATTTTTTTCCTACCATCCAGTTGCGCTTACCAAATTTGCGGTTGAAGAATGTGTAAGCCGTAAGGAGAGTCGATGGACAGGTTTGCACCGGAGGATGCTTCGAGCACTTGGTGGGTAACAGCTTCGTTGTAGATCAACGAAAATTGCCCATTCACCCGACGAATGGCCAGCTGCCACAACGTCCATTCCAACACAGAGACGGCGGGGGAATTATTCCAGTTCCCTCGGCGAGGCCGCCTGCTGAAACGGTCCGACGGTGAAACGACAATTCGGCAAAATTGCGCAGCACGTGTTTATTCCTTGGACCCATGCAACCCACACGTGTGAAAAAAACCTGAACCACGCTGGTTTCCTGTGCTGACTCTCAGGGATCCACGTGGCGTGGGTGTGCGCAGGAAAGAAACCTAATGCATGACACATGGTGTGGCGGGCCCCAAAAGAGCTGGTGTGAGTTTCGGTCCAATATCTGCTACGAACTTATGCGCCTAACAAATCAAACGCCCAGCGCGCTCTGTGGGAGCGCGTCCAAAACCTCTGAGATGCAAAAGGAGTCGACCTGACTTTGTCCATCAAGGGAGGCGGTATGACACAGAGAGAGAGAGCGAGAGAGCATACAAACGTGGTGTCTCTCAGCAGGCAGGTCCAAGAATCATGAATGTCCAGGTTGGACATCAACCGCTTGCAACAGAAGGTCGATCCAATGGTAGGCACCCTTTGCAAACTCTGCTAGCCTTAGTCTTCCTATATTCTATACCTAGATGTGTTCAGCGTATACCTCATCCCGCAGCCTTGGGTGACAAGGGAAAATGATGTAGTTGGATGAAAAGGTAACAAGCACGGTTCCAAACAAAGTCGGTGGCTTCGGAGCAGCGTCAACCCCAAGGCTGTGCATGTTCTGCCTTCTGCACTGGCCTGCGGATCTGCAAGCAGATTACAGTGAACATGTCCTGGTTGGTGAGTGGCTGCAAGATATTGCTGTGCGACTGATACAACGAAGTTCGCTGTTTTGCATTTTTGAATGAAGGGTTTTTAGCGTCTGGTTTGTTCTGCAATTTGCGCTAGGGTACCTTTCTGCGAGCTATGCTTAGGTGAAAACCGCTCAGGCGCTTGTCATTGCAGTGGCTCTTTAGGCGCTCCTTGGGTTGTGGTGTTTGGGCTGTTGGTGGGCTGTCGAGGTGCTGGGATCTCTGAAGCGAGAAACATCCAACCCTTGGATTCTTATGTTTCGGTTCTTTCGCACCGCTCAACGTGTCAAGTGAAGGCAACAGGTTTGTCTCTTCCTTCAATTTGATTCAGAATAATCCGAATGCAAACAGGACAGCATGTCACGACACATCTTTGCCATTTCAGTGACTTCGGTTTTTGGTGAAAACCATGCAACATGCGCGGGAACACTAGCCTCTCTGACAAAAGTAGTCCTGTGATTGTACCACTTGGACGCACTTTTCGATGAAATTCACTGGCCCTGGATGATGATCCTATTTTCTGTTCCGGCTCAGTCTACTTCAAATTCATTGCAAATCAAAACCCGAAGGTACACAACACTGACACGTTTGCCGGCAACATATACGTGTATATATATACATGTAACATTTATCAAGCAGGTCCCACACAAAATTCGACTAAAATCGTTCCATCAGGAATCATTCGGACCTTTTTAAGCAAGATCACCCAAGACCTCCTTATCCAAACAGCTCATTCGCACTCTGCATGTAACGATGTTTATTGCAAGCAGGGTCCCACCCCGCTACCCTCGAGGGGACCCTGGGCATTGGGAACCATTTCCATCGAAGTTTAAAATTATACAAGCAACGATTCGTTTAGACCAACATTAGTCAAAAATCGATTTTTTGTTTTTCTAAGATAGAACCCCAACAGTAAACTGTTTGGTGAAAAAACACACACTGAAAAACAAAACAGAACACCAATTTTGTATCTGTTAGTCACAGCAACGAAAACCACAAATATTTTGCTGTAGCACATATTGGTTTTTCAAAAAAATTGGTGCCACGATCGGCCAATGGTCCAAATCTGCGGAGGGTGGTGGGCTACAGTCCCAAGAGTGGACAAAAATGAGCACTGGTCGCACCTGCCAAAACAACGACGGCTGCACAATAAACTGCAATTCGGTGAATGGGGATGGAAAAACGATCGTTCTACGATGGACCAAAAGTTCATGTACAATGAACAGTTTTCACGTAATGCACCATGTTTTGACACATGGTGTCCACAGAGTTTGGCTTCAATGAACGTGCAATGAACGTGTATGCAGGGAAAAAATCCCTGTTCACAACTGAATGGGGGGGGGGTATTTATTTTTCGGCCCCGAAATGGTTTTTTTTTCAACTTCAAGTATTGCTTCAACTCCAAAAATGTGGTTTTTCAATCTCAAGCTTGAAAAATACCGTCTCCGTTCCGTTTGGTGTCTTGAAAAAAAACTCGCACAAAATTCAGAAGCGCTTCTTTTTGTTCGGGGGCTGCGCCGAACTTCTCAGTTTGAGAATTATGTACCGCTCCGTGTGGGTGGGTGGGCTGTTGAAAGGTGAACTGACCTTTGGTCAACACAGGGAGGATTCCACCTCACCCTCCCATGAACTTCGACGGCAACAAATCAAGGATTCCAACACACCCGGTCAGACCTCACGTCGGACCTAAAACTCACTGAGACAACAACATCACTTTCAGTGAAGATTGTCGTCTGCCTTCCGTTTGGCGTCTTGGAAAAAACTCGCACAAAATTCAGAAGCTGTGGACTCTTTTTCTCTTAAGTCAAACAGCCTCCAGTTGGTGCACTTCTCAATTGTGCTATGTCACCTTAGATGATCATTGAGTGCATGCTGTGCTTCTACGCTTATGATGTAAAATAGCTAGATAAGACAAGGGGGTCTATAACTTAGAAATAGAAATAAAAAAATCCAAACTCACTTCAAAAGGCCAACCAAAACTCACCTCTCACCAGGCAAGTCCAAGCAAAACTCAAAAGTTCAAGGCAAAGTCCAAGCGAAACTCACAGGTTCAAAGGAAAGCTCAAGCGAAACTCAAGGAGCTAGGGAAACCGGGGAAGCGCCCGCTCAGCGAGTTTTGCGCGAGCTTTTGACGAGCTTTTGACGAGCTTTGGTAGAAGAAAACTAGACAAAAGCTCAAATCGAAGCTCAAAAACTGAATGCGCACGAGCTTTTCACGAGCTTTCTGCGAGCTTAGCTCGAAATAAACTAGCACCGAACTCACCACAACGCTCACGCCACGGGAAACGACTTTTGCGCGAGCTTTAATTGGACTTTCCCTGAGTTTTGCTTGAACTTTTTAATGATCAGTTGAATTTGCTTTGGACTTTCCTGTTGACTCTTGGGCTTCCATTGGACATCGGCGCAGCACAAGCGAGTTTTGAGCGAGTTTGAAAACGAGTTTTGGGCGAGCTTTAAGCGAGCTTAAGAGGCCCCTGTCTTATCTGCTATTTTACGTCATAATTCTACGCACTCCTCCTTTTGAAACGTGAACTCCACTGTTCTAGAGATACTTA